ACCTAGTGAAAGAACTAAGAAAATACATTTTTTATAATTGATGGCTGAAAACAATGCAAAAAATTGTTTAAGAAAAAATTGTTCAAAATGAAAAATTCAGGGATTAAATTTGATATTTATCCAATATTTTATGGGTTAATTTAATAAATAATCTAATAACTTTTGTATTTTCTTCTATTTCATCTACTATCTTTAAATACTTTCAGATTCATTTACTATCTTTCATTTTTATTTTAGTTTAATCTAATTTATTGACTTTTAACTAACAGTTTCACTCAATTTGGTCAAATTGACTTTCAACTATATTTTTTGTGAATTTTTACTTCTTAAAATTAATTTTAAGATAAAACTAATTTTGTGAGGATAATAAGTTTTTTTTTCACTATTTAAGGAACTGTAATTTTTATCACATATTACTTCAGCTTTCTTTTTTTGACAATTCTTATTCATAGCAAAAACCATAATTATTGACATGTTTTAATAATTGATAGTATGTTGTGGACTATTTCGTTAATTAAATTATTTTATTTTGATTTTGATTTTGATTTTGATTTTAACTTTTTTGTTATTTTTCTGTTAAAACTAATAAAATTTTTATACAGTAGATTATTCTGAAATATTTACAAAGTTTAGAGATTATTTAGAAAGAAAACTAACTTTCTAGACTAAAATGAAATTAGTTTAATAGTTAATAAATCAATTATTCAATTAAGCCAAAATTTGATCAAAGCAAAACAATATCCGAGGATTGTGGATAAAATTATTGTGAAATCCATCCCAAACAAACTCTTTGTACATAAAACTCCACGTTTATGCGAGGTTGTGCATCACCTGCCACAGGTGGATGTTCATGGCATGGGATTTGAGCTCAAACCCCGGCCACAGCCCATTCTCTCTCCTTCCCTGAGTAGTATAGTAGTACCTTGTAATTGCCATGTTCAAAAAAATAAAATAAAATGAAATAACATCTTCAATACTGGGAAATTTGCCACTTAATTTCTAATCTTAATTCCATAAAAAAAAAACAAAAAACTCTAATCTTAAATCTCCAACCAAGTCCCGATAGTTTTCGGTAGATTTTATAATGATAAAAACATTTTCCTTTGTCAAATGTCAACTCTCTCTCTATATCTCTTTATGGCCAAAAATGACAATTAATAGTTTGCCACGCGTTCGGCTGCATGAATGGCTAGATGCAACCGACTCTGGTTATTGTGAAATATAAAAATATTAACATCACACAAATTTATTTATTTTTTAATAATAATTGATTATAATATTTAAAAATATTAGTTTATAAATTATTTTAATTTATTAATTAATTTATATTAATTATTTTAATAATTAATAATTAATAACAATTAATTAAAATTTTTTAAAATAATAATTTAAAAATTCACGTGATACATATCATTTTTTTTTTTAGTGTAGTCATAATCTTGGCTGGTGCAACCACTTCAACTGCATGTGCTACCAGCCGTGATCAATTTTTAAAGAGACACTCTGATGCAGAATGCAGATGGGCTTAGTGTTATGCAAACTTTTGACTAAGATGCAACGAAAAGTTGCTATGTCTCAATCATAAAGATTGATAGTCTCTTTAATTAAAATATATTTTTAATGGATTAATTGTAGATTTCGATGGATAATTTTGAAGACAATCAAAGTGCCAGCAATGGAATGGATATTTTACAGCTCAACCAAGTAAAGTTAAGGGGCATGAAGCAGATTTTCATTAAAGCATGCGGCGGCCACGTCTGCATGGTTAGATCTATCGCAAAGTTACAGATTTCATGACTTGATTATAGTAGTTGCAAAGCGGAGTATGATTAGTGATTGCCGACCGACCTTTAACAAGATATATGTACAGCTAATATTATAAAGGAAAATGATTTAATGTTAATTTATTTATATTTTTTTTATAATTTTATATATTATTTAAATAATTAAATAATTTATTTATTTATAATCTATGATAATGAATATATTTACTTATTTAATAATATGTAAAAATTAAATAAAAAATATATAAAAAGATTAATGTTTTTATATCACCATCTTATTATAAATTATAAATTTATAATTATAATATATTATTATATAATTAATTTTTTCATTTAAAAATTTATCTTGACATTATATGCATATTTAAATTAGATGATACTTTATGAATATAATCTTAATTCTAATTGCATTACGACTATATGAATTAATGCCACTTCAACAATAATCAACTCAGGAGTTAAGTTGTAAATACAAGGATGCAAGGCCGGATGAAACAGGCCTCTGCGCTTTCTATGAACACTCTCAAACATACAATATAAGCTCTCAAACAGACGCAATTAGTAAGGTTTTTAATGTAATTCACCAGGGAAGCAATTCAGCTCTGCATTTCTTGTTCTTTTAGTTTATTTATAGTAAGGTTTGTTTCATCAGCTGCTTAGCTTCTGGTCAGCGTGCTTTACATTTCGTCAAGTGTACTTTCATTGGTGTTTTTCATCTCTGCAAATCAATCTAGTTAATGCTTCATTTCAATTTTGCGTTGTTTTACTTTATTCATGGTTTATAATTTCATGCCTCGGTTTATTTTTATCTTGTAAATGTGCCTGCTTAGTGATTCACTTAGTTTGCATTTGGCTTGATTGATTTTATTTAATTTATAATTTTTTTAAATAATTTGTTAAAGTGTTTAAAAATTTTAATTTATAACTTGATTTTAAATTGTTAAGTAATAGATATCAATTACTATTATTAGTTAGAATTATTAGATGTAATTATAATTGTTAATTATTCTTAACAATTAAATCAAATAAAACCTTAATTAACTATTATTAGATTATTTTACGATGCCTCTCGAGCCTACAATTGTTTAGATAAATTGTTGTTGTCCAAATTAAAAGGTAAAATAAGTTAACTAAAATGATAGGTGCATGAATTGAAAGAATTAATTATAATTGATGTAAAGATCTTAAATACTGAACCTATCATCAAATGGTTAAAAGAAAAAAAAAAACCTTAAATACTTCACTATTTCCCATGTTCTAAGTATAATTTGAAAGGAGCAAACATTTTGAATATTCTTTATTTATTTAACATAAAACAAAGAAAACTAAAAAAATGACTATTTTTTATTTAAAAGAAATTCTTTCCACGTAACCCACAAGGAGCAAAGACAAGAAGTCCCGAAAAGGAAAGTTAGATAAATGCTACTTCAGGTTTCCATGTATGGTCTCGAGAGCCAAGACCATGCATGAAGTCAACAAAAAGGAAACAGATGCAACCTCAAAATCATGAGTAAGGGATGGTGGGGCCTCAGTTCGAAGGATTGCTCATACACATAACTAAAGACGGGTATGCACAAATTGCCTTCTACTTTTTATTGTAAACTTGTACTGTTGCTTTGTCTATTTGAGTAGCTTTTTACTTTTTTTTTTTAACAATTTGTAATTATTTATAGTGTTAATCGGGGAGGAGAAAAAAAGTTTTCGTGAAATTTAAATGTGCAATTCATCGGAGGTGAACAGTTCTAACCCAGGATCCAATACCACTGGGTCGGAGCGGACCGTTCCTATTTGAATAGCCCTTTACTCATATTAATAAAATAATTATTATAAAAAAATCAAAAAATCCCAAAAAAAAAGTACAAAAGGTGTCGCAAACAACTTTTTCTTTTTTTTTTTTAACTATAAATTTTTATTAATAAAGTACAAAAGATACTTATAGCCTCCCATACATATTATGTTTAGTTGTTTCCATATATAAAGTAATTGGAAACCATATAAAGCATAAGCTTACAACCTGCAGACTCAACCCAAAATCCGAACAACTTCCCCCTTACTATAAAAATAAACACTCTAAATCACGTTGAAATTAGAAGTAATTAATTTAACTCAACAAACTAGACATACATTGTTCTGCAAAGATTCAGAAACAAAACACCAGCAGGAAAGAGAACATGGCTAACACAGTTTAACATGAGGTGAGCAATTTTTCTCCCACACAGTAACATAAAATAACAGGACTGAAAGAAAAATCTTCTTATATACTACTAACTGGCCTGATGTCGATGCCTTGTATAACGAGACCACCCTTCCAGTGACCAGCCAATTGCAAAATACTAACTTCCAATTCACCATCTCCCAACCCTTCATTGAAGAATTCACCCAACTCTACCTCTGACCACCCATCTTTCCTGTCTTTTGGGTACTGGCCATTACTTTCTCTAGGAGGTCTAGATGCTGGCTGCCTCACCATGAGGTTTCGAAATCTAGTACCACCACGCCTAGTTGGGATCCAGAGCCTCTGTCCCCGCTCTCTCTCTATATCCACATACACTGTTTGTTTACGACCTTCAGTTCCGGCAAGTCCAACACTTACCTCTACGGGCTGGTATTGAAATCCAAAAGTAGCCATTGTCGCCTTGAACACTAGGTAAGCCTTATAGTGTGTCATTGGAGAAAGCATGTGAGTATTAATCCTTCCACGAACTTCAAACCAACAAACACTAAGAAGCTCCGCGACCTCAGAGAACCTGTTTATAATCATGAGAATACTTAAATCTTCAATTGATAAAATATTTATCTTCACATTATTTACTTTTCGGTGGGGGAACGACTTAAAAGAATTGAGAGTGCTTGCTTGTATTGATGTGCGGGCACATGTCTTTGTCTGCGTGTCCATGTGCGTGCATGCAATGCTTGTGAGAAAGAGATAAAAAGCCAAGATAAAGACATAGAGAACAGACCTGGAATCAGGTAAGGTTGTCCACTTCCAATATGAAGGAGTATCACCCCATATAATTGTGAGGTCCCTGGCAGCTAACATGTAACATTTCTTCCCACTTCTTTTGTCCAGTGAAAAACTCTGTACCATGCAGATGATAATTAATGACTCAACAACCGGAAGAAATGGTCTGCCCAAAAAAGTACTGAACTTCAAGACATCTATCTATTAGAAAATAAACTCATGTTTTATGGAGGAGTAGTTATTCAAAAATTATTTTGTAATTTATTAAAAAATAAAAAATTATAAAATTATATAAAAAAATATAATTATCTTTAAGCATTATCGTAAAGTATGTATAATAAAAAATAATAATAAAATTTATTTCAAATTTTATATATTTAATTCTCAAATAACACTCAATAAAATATGTCCTCTCTTACCCATAAAGTTTTCTAAAATCACATTAATATTATTTTATTATTTTATATATTAAAAAAATAAATTAAAAAAGTTATTGAAAAAAAAAAGAAAAAGGAAAAATTCAACGTTTACTTTTTCATCCACGCGCTTTAAATGCGGTTTAATGCGGTTGGATGCACCGCTCAACCTGCCGCAACGCATGACACGCGGGGCAAACGTTTTCGCGCCATTTAGGGAAAAAACGACTTGATTTTTGCCCCCAAACATGCAAAAAAAAAAAAAATTTCATCCAAACGCTTTGCACGCTGCAACGCATACCGCGCTGCAACGCATACCGCGCTGCAACGCATGTCACATGGCGCAAATTTTTTCCCGCCCTTTTAAGAGCAAAACGACGTCGTTTTGCTCAAAAGAAGCATTAAAAAAATTTGACCGAGCATGTCTCCCAAAGAGGAGATAGGCTCGGTTTTAGGAAATGCTTTAATGGGGAATCTGTCTCAGTTCCCTTCCGGAAAGAAAAATAGAGGAGCCAACATGCTTCAAGTTTTGATGAGCAGCCTCATATATATGCACTGATTGCTCAGAATACCAGGGTTGTTCAACATTTTATAGTGTAGAATCGTCAAAGTTATAGCATTTTATTTTATAAGGTCATCATACAAGTGCAACTGAAATGGAATGGGGAAACTAAAAAAGTCTTCCAAACTGGCATCACATCTCAATAAAGAACAAAGAATCTAATCATGCTCAAACACAAACAGCGTGACAATTAAGCTAAGAGATTACTCAGAGTAGTTTCTAGTACCTTTCTTTCAGATTATGAAAATTTCGAGTAATCAATTAAAAATCAATATCAGATTTAAGATAAAACCACAGAGCAGATTCGGCAACTCTTGTCAAATTAAGAAAATTCTCAATAAAAAAAAATTTACAAAAACAAACAAACTATAATGGACATCGATTAACAGTTTCAACAAACCAAATCAGAAAAATTTTTGGATGAGAATCGTAATGTTGATACAATTATATCCAAATATAGAGAAAAGAAATGAATGTATTTACCTTTCTGCCGTCTTCGATGAGGACAGGATTGTCGCAGAGCCTGAAATAAAGGTCCTTCCTGGACGAAACAGCGGGATATTCGGAAATCAGATTCTGGCAATCGGAAGGGAGGAACTTAACCCAAACGATGTCAGAGTCGGCGACGGTTTTGAAGACAGTGGAAACTAAAGATAATCTGCAGGCATCGGTAGGAGTGGTAAGGGAGATGATGGCGGCGATGCAGTCGTCGGGGAGGGCGCAGATATCCAGCATCCCTGAATCGCTGAGTCTGCCTCTTCCGTCGGTCCGCACGGTGCTCATACCAGGGGGAAAAAAGGGATTGATGTAGTAAATGGGAATCAGGAAATGTGAAGTACACAAGGAGCTGTGGATGTCTACGGTGTTTGTAACTTTGCATTTATAGAGGGGTGATTGGATGATAGCTTAGCGGCTAAGAAATTTCAGAATAACATTATTTTATTCTGGTCCTTCTTCGTGTGGACCGTCGGCTGTCCCACTTCTATTTATTTGCTGGTTGATGCGTCAATTTTAAAATTAATTTTTTATGATGCCTACACCCCGCGTAACGGCTTAGACTTTGGGTTAGTGTGGGCCGCTTTTCATGTTTGAATCTTAAGA